TATCAACACCGTTTAGACTGCTCATAGAAAGCTGACACAAATTACCAGAAGTTGGACAGGGAAAAATAATGATGGGATATTCTATTTATGAAATTGTGAAAAAATTCGGTAAACGTCGATATACGCCGCGTTTGTACCTGATAGAATGCATCACCTTTCAACACAGACAGTGACGCAGTGGCATACCATGAGTACTTAATGAGTTGCGCCAGAGGCACTAGGCTGGGATTGTCTGTAGTAACAGGCAAGCGATAGTGGCTGAAATGAAATTTACATTCAATGAAGAATCCACCAGCAAGACATTCGCTTCAGAGCAGAAAATCTACCCGGGTGAGCCTGTTAGCATTGTAATATCGCACATACCGCGTCACCTTGACTCGTGATATCGCTAACGTGTGGTGTGAGTCACAATTCCGGTTGTTTCATGCAGATGTTGGGTTCAAGTCTAATATCCCATATTGTCTATGAGTCCCAGTTGTCAACAAGGTACCGTTCAGACTGGTGTTGGTTTCATAATGGTGTCGATTGTGTTCACGGAGCATAGGTTGGGGGTCTGCTGGTTCACTTAATGACGGCATTGCCCAGTTACCGCAGTTATTTGCAGATGTTTATGGAATCCATATCCCAATATCAATGGATTCTACCAGAAGTATAATATACCGTGTCATAGGCTGCCTATAGGAATAGATAGGGTCATTTATCGTCCAGTTCACTCTCCTCCCCGGTCTTTTGAACAGAAGTAGAATTTATTCCCTGTTACCTGTTTAGAATTGTGTTTCCGGTTCCTTCTAAAGTTTTGTCATTATATTTTTTCTGTTGCCTTTTGTTACAAATTTCTGATCGTTATACGACGGCTGTTTATTTCCGATATCAGCTACTAACCGAACTGGGTGATGTGCACGTGACAAACAAGAGAAATAAGCTAGGGAGCTGAAAACTTTCTCGGCCTGATATGTTTGTCAAAAGCAGACCAAAGTTTGTCTATCGTCCAGTTCACACTCTTCTCCTGTCTTTGAACAGCATTAGAGGTTTATCCTTTGTTTCCTGTTTAGGATTCACTCTCTAGTTCCTTCTAAAATTTTGTCAATCTCTTTCAATGCCCCCCCCCTAATCTTAGTGAAATTATCGCGTTGCTTGTAGTAAATTGATAAAAAAGAAAACAAGGAAAATTAGTTTGTGGAGGATTCTGTAGATTTCCGATGAACGGTGTGTCCAATATTTTTGGACAGGATCCGAATCCCGCCCTTAGGGAACATAGAGGAGGGGTCTATTCACAAGAAATATCACCACACCTACAAATATCGGGGATCTCTGGCCGGCTATCAAGACAATATGGCTCAACATTCCCCCACCCCCCAAAAAAAAATTATTGGGCTACAGGCAGATGGTGGTTTCTACACGATACTAGGTATTTATTCTAGGGCTTTTGGAATTTTAATGTAAGTTCTTCAGATAATTTTTTACACCTTTCTCTTTACTTTCAATGGAGAAAACAGAATCAAATGTTTCATAATTCCTTCCATTTAGCCGTGACATTTCTTCATTGATGTATGTATGTATTTTTCAAAACGTAACGCCGGGTTTTAAAATTGAACAAACTTGAATACTTTTCATTTTCCTTTCATCAACCCCCAAATAATTTTCGATTTCCATTTTTATTCAGCATTTCACAAAGAAGGAAATTATTGAGGATTTGGATTAATTAAACATTTAAATAGGAATTCGGATTTAATTAAATTTTCTAGTCTATTGCCGAGGTCCACCTACATCAGACGACATTAAATCACTTTTTGTGTACCTAGTTAATGTGAGTAAATGCTGTTCTAGGCTGCATTTTTTGTTATGATCCATGTCGAGATTCCTAGCCTCCCCGGTTTATTTATTGGCCGGTCCTCTTTTCATCTCGACTGGACCAGATCTTTTCCCCTCTCCTCATGGCCGTATTTATTATATCTTTTCTTCCCCTTCCCTTAGCGATAGAGAACCTCTTGATTTTGTTTAAAAGGCAAAATACAGCGGCCTTTCTTTTTTAAGGGATGGACGGGTCAAAGTGACATCAGTTTTGTTTCTTTTGTTTGTTTTATATTTTCGTTTGTTTTTTTTTTTTATCATCTTCCTCCTTCTCATCATTCATTAATTTTTTGAAAAAAAAATCATGGAATTTTCCAATTTTCATGTCATGAGGTGCGTTTTTGTGTATGTGGTATTATGGTGAATGGAGGATTGATTGATGACGGACAGGTTATTTTGGTGAATGTGGTAAATTGCAACGAGTGAATGGGTCGCGAATCGGATTAGTTAGATTTAGGATAGCAGTAATGACCAACCTCAGTTCACCCCCTCCCCTTTTCGGCGTTGTACTACAATTTTGTATTTTTGCAAAATAAATCTCGTAAGAGTTCTTAAACATTCATGAGAGGTCGATTAGCATTTTTATTTTTAATTAATGACATGTTTTATTGTATCGTCATTTATGACGTATTTAATTATATCGACTATGATTTTTTATTGCTATTTAATGATGCCAACATTTATTTACATTGAAAATCACGTGACCTATATTTCTACTTCAAGCAAATATGTTTTAATTGAAATAAACCTTATCTATGCCGGGGAAGTATAAAAAAATATTAAGCTCAAGCCCCAGGTAGAATTCCTCCCAGACAGTATTTCTCCTTCGGAAGGGGGCCTGGTTTATTAGCCGGAGCCTTAGGCAACCCAAAAGACGAAGTGCCGAGGGAGCTTGGGCAATTTTTCAACGGTACTGACGTTAAACGCACTTTAAACCTCGACCTGTCACATTCGGTCGTCATCACATTCGAATGCGCTGAAAAATAAATATTTTTATTTTGAGTTCTGATTTAATTATAATTTTCAAACCGCGGTCAAATTGGTTCATCTTTTATTTATGTTTTATTTTGAAATATTACATTTTATGTGGTACAAGGCAAAACGAGGGTGAGGAAAGGTTAGTCGCTATTTAGTTGATCTGATTCACGACCCATTCATACATTACAATTTTACTAATACACCATAAGAACTCATTCATAGTCATTCAATCCAACACATACCAAAATACCGCATATCACAGGGATCCTACTAAAACATTCACGATATGAAAATATATAAGTAATGTTTTTTTCATCTATGTTAATTATCAATTAAAACTAATCCTCTTGGATTTTTGCTTGCATTAATTTGTCAATTGTTATCCAATTAAAACCTCGATTCAGCATCGAACCGATATAATTACGTGAAATACCTGAAAGAATTCCGATTTTACATTGAAAATAGAAGACAACCATATATTTTTACCTTACAGAAGTAATTTAATGAAGGTTATTAGACTGAAACCATGAAATATTATTGATTCGAGTGATTTGAATAAAGCCTGATTGGATTTCAGTTTTTATTTACGTTCAAATTCAATTGCGTTAAAAAACATACAACAGAATGTTGCCCGTCCATTCTGACTTCACTACGATTTTTTAAAGTTTTTAATGCATATCACTATAGGACGTAGTTGATCATGACTCTCCACAGATTCCTTTTCTTTGTATTTATGAATTTCCTTGCATTCTTGGGAAAGATAAGGGAGTAGACTTATTTGAATTCAGATTCTTCCTTCACTCTGCCTAGAAAGTTACACAAGTATTTAATCTGTAGCCAGATTCATATCTTTCCCAAGTTTGAAATTACCGCACTGATAAACTAACTTCACATCCCTATGACAATAGATATAAATTCATTTCTCCAGTTTGTTTCGTCTTTTTTCCAGTTGTTTGAGATACGTTTTTGGATTGAAATAAATCAGATAAGAAATGTAAAGGAAGACGATTTTCGCATTTTACGTCTTCTTTTATATTTCTATCTGATTCAAGTTTTATATATATATATATATATATATATATATATCATTTCACCCCAAGCAAGGCGGAAGTGTCACTAGTATGCATGGAGTTACAAAGAGTGAAAGTCAGAAAAAAAGGGGCGTTGAGGAAAGGATAAAGATGAACGAGGTTCAAGACAACAGAAGATGGCGATTGACGTTGCATTTAAATTTTTGAAAATTTTAGTTATCAGAGAAGCAAGTAAGCGGAAGGGAGTTTCACTGTTGGGAAGTGCGAGAAAAGAAACTTTTGATGTAGAAGTGGCGGTTGCATTTAACTATTCTAGCAGTGAAAGTGTGGGATCTAGATGCCAATCTCGTAGTTCACTTAAATTAATGTAGTCGGAGCACCAGGGAAAATGCTCGTCAGTGCAGTTGCCATGAAAATATTTGTAGAAAAGACAGGGGGAAGCTACACATCACGTCTGTGAGAAAGTGACTGAAGTTGCGATGTCAAGTCAGGATCGATTACATTGCAGATCCTTCTTTGGATTCTGTCAAGTACCTTGAGATGAACAGCAGGAACACAAAACTGGATATGGCAACAATATTTAATGCACGGACGAATGGTAGATTTGTAAATGTGCAAGATGGACTCTGACGAGAAAAAACCTTCTGGCACAACACAATAAACTAACTTTCCTTGCAGTAGATGCAGCTATTGATTTAACGTAGTTGTTTCACTTCAAGTCAGTTAAAAACGTGCGGTCAAGAAGGCGCATTGAGATGCCCTCCTGGAGTCAAGCACCAGTCATGCTGATGACAGACAGGGAAGTTTCTCTATGGTGGTTAAATGAGAGCAGTTTAGTTTTGTAGGCATTAGAATTTACGAGCCATTTTCTGCCCTAGTTAACCACTGATTAGAGGTCCTTTTCAAGAACTGCAGCCAGTTTAACTTTGTCAACTCTGACGGATTTACCATTACGATAGGTGTAAATGGTAGTGTCATCTGCATAAATTCCAACTTGAGGACTAATGACATCAGGAAGATCATCTATGAAGATCAGAAACAGTGTAGGACCCAGTATAGAGACTTGGCGGACACCCATTTCTGGTTCTTTCACCGAAAACCCGGAAGGAAAACATGCGTGTCATCCCAATAACCTAGGCTTACGGCCACGTCAAGTTAAAACACCAGTTCCCTTACGATCCCCGGAGTTAAGCAATGTCAAGCTTGGGTAATACATGGAAGGGTGACCGCTTAAGAATACTATGTACAGTAAGCTTGGATGTGCAGGTGGTGTAATGAATAATGACCTGTAATTTTTAATCGGAGAGCCGAGTTCCAATTCCCGCTGTGCTCGTTATATTCACTTACGCACAAATACACTTGGGAAAATTATTAATCCATCTCTTCTTCCCCAGTTATGGGTTAATTAGTAAAACACGTGTCACTAAATCATTATTATTTTCCCCCAAATTCTTACAATCTAAAAATATTTTCTGACTAGAAATAACTTCCAATGGGCTGATAAACCGTAAAAAACGAATCAGACAATAAATCAACCAATTGCCTAAACGACCACCAGGATCGTCTTTGTTGTTCTTCTTATATTTGCCATGTCTCTTCAAGACGTTGGCGATCATGCCTCTCTACAACTTATTGTCCTTATATTTTATTGTATTTTTCCAAATTTTGGATAAAATGTGCTCGAAGTTGTGGATAAAATACTTGAAGTTCATATTTTGTTATTTTTGAACAAGTACTTTCGACTTTTACAGTCATTATCAAGAACCGATTTGGTGTCTGTGTCGTAGTTACAATTCCTTTACAAAAATAACAAAATCTGAACTTCGGACAGTTTATCCACAACTTCGAACACAATATTCAACACCATAGCCGAAAATTGAAAAAATACAATAAAAAATGAAACAGACATACCTAGTTGGTTCTTTTTAATCAAACCTGTTGTCTACATATACCTTATTCACATACACACACACACACACACACATATATATATATATATATATGGGTGTGTGTGTAAACTCAGTTCATCTATAGAACTATTATTGATCCAAAGACGTTCTTTCTGACGCAGATGCACACACACACACACAGACACACACACACACAATATATATATATATATATAATAATGTGTGTGTTTGTGTGTGTGTGCGTGTACGTGTGTGTGCATCTGTGGTATGAGTGATAATAGAATAACAAAACGGAGAAAACCTTCTACGTAACGCGTTTCGTCCAAAGAAAGAACATCTTCAGATCAATAATGGTACTGTAGAAGGACTGAAATTACACACACACACACACACACACACACACACACACACACACACACACACACACACACACACATATATATATATATATATATATATATATATATATATATATATATATATAAAAGGCGGTCCGATGATTGCGTCTAGCATGAAACAGCCTGTCGTCTCTGAGTGTTGACTTCAATGTTCACTTTTATATTTACATAAATATAGCACATCTTAAAAGTATTTTTCTTCATATATATATATATATATATATATATATATATATATATATTATATATATATATATATATATATATATATATATATATATATATATGAATTGTTATGAACCATCATCTAATTAATTTTATTCTAAAATCAACACTAAAGTTTACATTTTAGAAGTACGCTGAATGAGGAGCCAGTACTTTCAGAAAGTGTGAAAATGAAAAAAAAAATAAAGTGAAATTGGCAATTAATGGTTCTTGATCAAATTTGCATGCATCCGAGCAAAGATTACGTAACGTATGAAAAGTACACTTTCTCCTTCTTGGTCATGTGAAAGTGTGATCATTTGACTGGATACTATTCAGACATTTAAGCAACCTTGAACTCTCTGACATTTGGCAGAAAAAAGGAAAAGAGTTGGTGACCTCTTTTCGCCCACACATGTAAAAATCCATATTTGGAAGTCATGGGTCACGTGCCAAAATCAAGGCGCGAAAATAAAGACTGCCACCAAGTGTTCCCTCTTAAGAATTCACACTGAATGGACGTTCAGCTAAACTTGCTATTATCTTCTATAAATTTGGATGTGCGGAATTGATAGAAATCTATTAAGCTTTCTGAGCTGAAAAGATTCAGTAAAATGTTGATTCAAATAAATCAAACTCCGATATGCTTAAAGAAGCAAATACAAGGAAACAAAGGAAGATAAATTATGCTGAGAGCCAAGGAAAAGAAAGATTCAACTTATTCTTCACTCAACCCCTGGACAAGATGAAAAAGGAAAAGAAAGAAAGGAAACTAAAAAGAAATCCATTTTACAGATAAATTTTCTACCCAGCAAAGAAAAGAGAAAAGATAAAAAGAAATATAAAAGAGACACTAATAGAAAACGAAGAGAAAAAAGAAAGAAAGACTTTTTTTTCCAAATAATCTTTGTTCATTTTGCCTTTTGTCATTTGTAATTTCATGTAAGTTTGACACAAGGTCGTTAGTCAATATAATATTTACTTTTCTGAAAAAGATAAGTTCCCCGTCAATGATTTTGTCCTATAATATTTATTTTTGTCTCATCGTTTTGCTTTGCCCCATCTTTCATCTTTTAATATATCCCAACCTTTTTGATGCTCATTTTTGTATATTTTAATAATAAAATGGTTATTTGTTATCCCTGTATCTTTGCCTTCTATTGTTTGTTACCTAGCATATTTGTTCGTTAATTGATTCCATTTACCTCGGCCGTGTTTGATCAATCAGGAAAGAAGCATGAGAAAGAATTCGTGATTTTATATTGTATGTTACTGTTTATATATATATATATATATATATATATATATATATATATATATATATATTGTATTTAGGCAGCATTTTTCATTCATACATGTTTCATTAAATAATATAGACAAGTGTTGTCTATTTATTTTATGACAACACTTGTCTATATTATTTAATGAAACATATATATATATATATATATATATATATATATATATATATATTTATTTATATATATATATATATATATATATATATATATTTATTTAAAAATATGATTCCAACGCGCTATATAAGAGTTCTCATGTTTCAAAAGAAGAGCCGTGAGAACTCTTATGTAGCGCGTTGGAATCATATTTTTAAATAAATAATTATATTTATGCTCTACTTTTGTATCGAGCACTGTTTTTTTTTTAAATAATAACAAAAATACTAAAGAACTTTGGATTATTTACATAACGAGTTCTTTCCTATTTTCTATATACTTTACACACACAAAAGACATACATATATATATATATATATATATATATATATATATATATATATATATATATATATATGTAGTGGGGAAAGAAATACAAGAAACACCGGTTACAGTGTTAGATCGAAACCGTTAATAAGACAAGAAGCTTTAAATTAAAATTTTTTGATATTCGATGTATCGAGATGTTTGACTCATTCAACTTTTTTTTTATTTTTTATTTTTATCACTGTTGTTTTCTTAATTATCCTACATTTTAATGCCAGTAGTTTTGTGGAGGAAGTCCATATATTTATATTTTATGATCCTGGATTTAAATTTACCGTAGAAGATTCCATAATTGGTATGTAGTAATATGTACCTCGTTTTGTCAAGCTTGTTTCATTTTTCTTTTTTCCTCCATTTTATCATTCGATATTATACCATTAATATGATTTATGGGTTTGTATATCATATCTATACGTGTGTGTGCATAGTCGGGAGTAAGTGTGTGTCTACAAGAGGGTGCTACAAAATACTCGGCTCGTTCAATATTCTGATGTTTAGACATTTGAAAATATCTGGGGAAGGGGTGGGAACAATAACTTTTCAGCACCTATCTCGAACACGTGGAAATATATGCATATGTCTATATAACTTTACATAATAAACATATGAAGGTGTTCAATGTGTATATTCATTGTACGCAATGTATTGTAAACTACCCGAATTTGCTAGTGTCTCCCAGTGAAATAGAAATAAGGAAAGTTAGAGAGATATGAAGCGAGAGAGAGAGAGAGAGAGAGAAAGGGTTGGATTAAAATTATAAAAGTGATTTGACAAATATCAGAAGAAAGTGCCCTACATCTAATTCATAGACTCATGTTGAAAAAGTTGAACACTTTGTCTGAAACTAGAGAACCGGAAACCAATCACCGGAAGTGGCTCAGGAGATCACGCGAAATCACTTCAAACGTTTACTAGAGTTCACACGGCTACAGCGACTTATGTTAGAGCGTTACAAGATGTCCGCCATCTTCAAAGGTTATCCTTCCGGGTTGTCTTTCATGTTTCAGGTTATATATATATATATATATATATATATATATATATATATATATATATATATATATATATATATTCTGATTCTTGCCGTGTAACCGAGGAAAATAAAAATATAAAAGAAAAGATCAGTTGAAGATAGAAAATAATAAAAGTTTCTGTTAGAAAAGTTTATTCATCGAAGTTTTCATTCTTTCAAAAGATCTTGCACACAAGATTACTCCTGTTATTATAATAAGAAATTAACAGGAAATTAGAAACTTGACAAAGCAAGATAATGCATTTCAGCTAAATTCTTATCCTTTTCTTAACTTGAAATTCTGATGTGATATTACTATCTAATTGGTATTTCTGACCAACACCTCTTTTAATGTTTTCTCACTAGGTTTTCCCTGGTGTATTTCTCTCTTCGTTGAAGTGTAAGTCGTATACTATAGCCTTCGGATTCTTTACTCAATGAGTGCTCCATATTTGTGGCGTTGGTCCAAGAAGCCTTTTGATTCTTTCTAGCGAAACGTTTTGATTTCATAAATCGGTTAGTTCAGTTCAGCGTCATTCAAAGAACTCTTCTTTAGTCAAACTTGTAAGTGAACGAATTGTGTGAATATGTGGTGTTCACATATGTATATCCTTTTTCCCATGTGTATATCCTTATTCACATATGTATATCCTTGTGTACAGTTTCCTAAAATGTTAATTTGAGGTGCGAATAAACGACCACGAATATTACTAATTTAAAATTCAATGATCTAAATATACAGAATCTATCTACATAAGATTTTGACAAACTTCCGGATACTCATGTAGACAACACACATTCGCGCATGCACACACACACAGGGACGCTCAGCTTTAAATTTAACTTAGCCGATCTATCCAAAGTAATTTTTCAAAATGAAATGTGACTCATATTGTACATGTAATATATTCAGGTCATATAAAACAGTGGATCTCTATCTATAAAA